GAGGCGAGAGATAATGTCAGGCTCTAACTCCCCTGTGTTATAAAATGTCATCTTTAGGTATTTCTCGTTTATAACAACACCTCCTAATTTCTTACTAAAGAAACAGGTGGGGGGGGGGTCGAGAAAAAAAATATTTTGTGTTTAAAACTTGACCCTTTTTATTATGTTTCCTCTAATTATTATTTTCTCTTTGCTTTATTTTTTCCCTTTCTCTATTTCCTATCCCCTTCTTCCCTTACCCTTACTTTTAATTGTGTTCTTTTTTCCAAATTTTTTATTAATTATACCATCTTGTGCTATTTCTATATTTCTGCTTTTGTAACTAAATTTTCTTTTAATGAATTCTCTTTTTAACCCTATTCTTTTTTCCACGTCCTATCCCTTAAGTACTCTATTCTCTTTAATTTTGTGCCTCTTGTGCCATAGTTAAATTATAATACTGTATATTATTATTTTTTACTTTTTTTCAAACTCATTTTTAACATGAATTATGATTGTATATTAACCAGTGCTCTTATTTAAGTGCTTCCTCGTATTTCAGAGTACCTTGTAATCGTTCCCCAGTGCCCTGTGCTCATGTTAATGATGTGATATTTTTAATACCCTCTGTCTTCTTATAGCTAGTTTTAAAAAATAAAAAAATATATATAAATATTACTGATTTTTGTTCCCCTGTTTGCTAGTTGACTATAACATTTTTCTTCCTTCATCTAGTCCTGTTATTATTTTATTTTATTGTCCAGATATATGATTCTTTTACATCCATTTAGCTGGCAACTCAGGAATATCAAACTTTTCGATCCTCTCCTTCCAAAACACTCTAAGTGAAGTAGGAAAACCCCAGATGTATTTCACATTCCAATGTCTCAGAGTGTTCAGGTGTTGACTGATGCCTCTGTGCCATCTTCTCGTATAAAAGGATAAATCAGGAAATATCAACAAATTTTTCCTCCAGTTATGGTTTGCTTCTGAGTGATGCCATAATTTTGGACTTAGTATCGTAGGATTGGAATTTAACCATAACATCTTGAGGAAAAAACTCTGATATATTTTGAGCTCTTGGTAGCCAGTGAAAACGATCCATCAGAAAGTCGTTTGACCCTTCTTCAGTTATCAGACTTTTAAAATATTCAACAAGAAAAGCTTTCAACATATTATCAGAGATAGCTCCTGGAATGTTGCAAATCCTAATATTTCATCTTCTTGAATGATCCTCCATGTCATTAATCTTACCTTCTAGTTGATCAATTTTGTTCTTCATATCTGAGAATGACGTTTGTAGTTGATTATATTTTGAATCCATCTGTAACACATTTGTCTCTATTAAAGACAACTTTTCCTGCATGGTTTTTATTTCTTATTTTAATTCCAAAGTACTGAATGTGATATTTTCTTTTATACTCCTAGAAAAAAATTTCAAGTAGTTAGTCAGAATCTCTTCTGTTAAAGGGTTATATCCCTGGTCTTCCTGAGGGGGGTTGTGTTTTTGGGGAGTAACTGCATCACTATTTTCTGAATACATTTGAGATTTATTTTGGGAAGGAGAAAAAAGTCAGATAATCTTTTCTCTGGTTGCAATTCTTTTTTGTCTCTATTGCTCTTGTCCTCCTGTACTATTTTTGAGGCCATCTTCTCTTTTTAAACAGCACAGCACTAGATATTTATATATATTTTTGTATAGTTACTACAAATCTGTATGTATTGTTTTTTCTGTTGTTACTTGACAAATAGCCTCCCTTTAATTAGAAAATATTATATAAATATTATATAAATCTTGTAGGTCTTTAGAGAGCTTATATTCCTTGACGCCTCGCTAGGAGTTAATACTGAGTCCTGCGTGTTTAAGATAGTAAACTATGCTGGCTGTTCAGCTGTCTGCAGAGCTGTTAATACTCCTTACTCATTAGCATACCATTAAAAAGATTATGCTTTGACCTGTGTTCTTATGGAGTTATCCTCCTTTTATTTGTAGTTAGTGTTTGATTATTGCAGGTCTACCGATACTCCTTAATTTACTTTTCTTTCTCCTGTTTTTTCCCCTTTTTTCTTCTACCCCTTTTCCTTCTTTCTTCTCTCCTTTTTTAAACCCTCTACTTTGTTAAAGCCAGTACCAAAGACTACATACAGATATCATAGATATATTGCAATAGTAGATTTACGTATCTTTTCCTGTTGTTTGCAGAAATGATCTTTCCTACCAGTCTCTTTCCTTTCCTTATCGTTGCTCCAACACATATCCCCCTCACGTTTTTAGTAAGTGTTCACAGGATTGGAATTCAGCTCTTTCTCCACAGCAGCTTTCGATACCCAAAAACCAGTCTAAGAACCGCTAGCTTGATCCTCTCCAAGTGGGTGTCTGTGATAGTCGCTTTATTCTCCGGGAGTTTTTTTTCCATTACCTAAGATTAACGGCGTTCCTCATGTACCACCACAATGATCATAAGCCTCGCCACCTCATAGCCCCGCCTCCGACGTCATCGTGATCTAAGTCCCACCGTTTCAGCTTTTTTTATATTTAACTTATATGTAATTGTATCCTCTTTCTAAAAACTTGGTGTGGTGGAGTGAAGTTGATATTAAAGGGACACTCGGGGCACCATAACAACTCAATTGAAATGAAGTTGTTATGGTTTCAGGACACCTTTGGCACTTCCTTACTTTTAGGGATTAACCTTAACTCTGCAGTGCTGTTCCTCCTTGTAACCATCCACATCCGCTTTCTCTGATTCTGATCTTACCACCGGCCTGCTTATTGGCTCATAGAAGTCAGCAGACATTCATAAATAAAGTAAGTAGGTTGCCTAGAGTGCGCCTTTAAGTACAGATACACACAGTCTTACATACACTATAATCTATTTTTTTGGTGTTAAAGCACTTGGATCATACCTTCCTATGGATTGTAAGCTCTGTCATGCAGTCCTCAAAAACCTTGTTTCCTATTAACACTTGCAATAATTTCTCATTGGTTTCTCTTTTACCCTCTCGTTAAAATTGAGCTAAACAATATGTTAGCTTTATATAAATACCAGTGATAATAATTTGGTCACTAGCAGCAGTCTTTATGAATGTTCTGGGAGGACAACACCCAAGAATACGTTAATTTTGGTAGTAGAAAATAACAGTGCAAGAATTTATAACAGGCATATGGATCCTCTTGATTCTTTAATCACAATCTACAGTATGTTTAATCTTCTAATTTGTGCAGCTTTGCAGACTCACTAATAATGATGCCACACACAGGTGCCCTGCCTTACAAAGAGAAGGGATATTTGGTATCAAATGTTTGGAAAATTACTCATGTGCTGTGCATTTGAAAGGGTCACTTCAACCACCATGACCACTTCTGCACATCCAGAAATATTTTAAATTGTGTGCTAGTCGCACCCCCAGCACACATGACTTAGGCAGCCCAGAACTTTGTTTTGGGCTGCCTGAATTAAATTATGTTCATATTTTACATCTATCATCAACGTGCACTGCACGCTGCCAACAGACGTAACAGCCTCACCCTTGCAGACAGACCCTTGTCTCCCCTCTCTCCTACCCTGAGAAAAGCGTTCCCTCCTCCCTATCCCCTCTATTACCTTTGATTGGACTTTAGTGCAACTCCTGTGACATCAGACATGGGTGTGCCGAGCAGTGCCGGGGAGCATTACCAGGTGCTGGATTAAGGGGAGTAAATTTTATTTTAAAAAGTTCTTTATTGTTTTTGTAGGAGAGGGGAAGTATATACAATAATGCCAATAGGGAGAAACCCTGTAAGCTTTTAAACAGGTCACTAAGCACCATAACCAATATAGTGGTTATGATGCAGTCCTTTCAGTTTTCATTAATTTTGAAGAGGGTTATTTTAAAATTAGAAGATATCAAGCAAACTGAGCCCTTGACTCTCTGATAAGTAAGTTTCACATTTCTCATGCATTCAAATTATGTATGCAGAATCTGGCAATGCTGTCATCCCTTTCTGTACTTACAAATGTACATTGGTTTCCTTTAACACAGGAGTGTCCTTTTAAGTAATCTGACGATTATAGGGTATATTAATTTAGTTTAGTTAAAATTAGAACATCTTTTAAAAAATCACTAAAATGGACTCAGAAAAGTGGCCAGAAATTACAGCTATTAGCCCCCACTCGATCAAATCACAAGGAACGTTATGCTTTCTTCTATTCTTTCAGGTTCCCATATGGCATGCCAATTGATGTCTTTTTCATCAATATATTATACAAGTAAGTGATGTACTACATACCACATAAAACACACTGCAGAGCAGGAATTCAAGAAATATGCTCAGCACTCCGACTGAGTAAAACAAGCATTAGGAATTGGTAAGAAATCTAAGCCTCCTCTTGTTCCCTGGAAAAGCTACAGATTTGAAGTGAGCAACCTGGTACCTCTTCTATTACATATACATTAGTGGCAGTCATAAAATTCCTCTTTTGACAGCAAACATATATTTTGAGTTAAACTATTAGATTTTATCCCTCCTGTATTCTGTATTTGTAATACAGTTATAAGCCTCGCCCATATAAAATGAATTATTACTGAATTTCAAGAATCTCAAAATCCACATTTTTTCTTATCTAAATTGTTATATCTGTCTCCAGATAACAAACAACAGATGTGCCTAAAGACAGACTGCAGGCCAACTCCTAAATGCCTTAAAGAAATACAAAAAAGTTCTAATTAAAGAGCAACGAGGTTAAAATGACATGATGCTAGAATTGTGCAACAATATGTATTGATCAGGTAATTCCAATCAAATTCCTTTTAATTCACACCTGTAAAAATCTATTCTCCTGGGATTTACCTATGAGTCTAATTCATTGAATCAGACTGCACAAGTAAACCCGGGCGCATAGATTACTTCTGGTGTGTATTAAAATTAATTTGATTGGCTGAATTTAATTTTTGCTCAAGTCTACCTAAAGTGTGCGCAAAAAAATCTTCCTTCTAGTGTTTTATACAAGGGTTAATATATGTAACACATTTAATTTATCCTTGTGGTACATTTGTGGTTACACAGAATTATAATGAAACTTTCAGTTCCTGTTAATAGAAACAATACCGGCATTTAAAAAAAACAAAAAAAAAAACAACAGACACGGAAATACAAATAAAACATCTATTAAATATACAATATTCTTAAATAATTATCTTTTAAAAAAAATGTACATGGCACATTCATAATGTTAACATATAAAAATACAAAAAGACTCTATAGCAAATAAAAAAAACACATAAAACGGATCCCCCCCAAACTCTGCGGCCAGCACAGAGAGCTTTATTACGAGATCTCCTTTTGCAAGGCACCCAGCAGTAAAGTGCCTACTAATCCAAAAAACCCAGCCGTAGAAAACTTCAGTGAGATGCTTCCAAGCTCTGACTTACATACCAAACAAGAGACAATTCCAAGTATATGAACATTCACATTTCAATTAGTAATCCAATTTAAAAAAAACAATTATGGCCCAGTAAAACCTGTGTTTTAAGCAGGAGCAAAATTACTTAGTAGGGCTTCAATGTAGGCACACATTACGATTCAATTTTGGAATGTGCATAACTATCAGACGGACAAGCTAGCACAGGCAGGATTGACATCGGGGTGGGAGGGGTGAAGGAAACTGTCTCATGTCTGGCAATCTTGAATATCACTTTTGATAATTTGATGAGTTTAGTGTGACCTATAGGTCATATGCCATGACCTTTCAAATCCTATTTTATAAATAATAAGGCTGTCTGCTGGGTGATATTATTGTAGAACTCCTCAAAGCACAAGGCAAATCTACAACCATTTTTCTACAAACCTCACAGTTCAATAAACGTTATCATGCTTGCATCGTTTATAAATGTTCAAGAATGTTAAAAACGTTGATTGTATTCCTACTTAAACACCTGCGCAACATCAATTATATCCGGCATTCAGATGAAATGTTTCTTTTTTTACTTCTTCCATTTTCATGTTGAGAAATAACATACTGGGACTAAAGATTGGACGTGAAATTGTCACCATCGAGAGCAGTCTCAGCATTTTCCTATGACTAGGTGCAAATGTGTTTTTGTATACAAATGTTGCAGTCCATCATTCCCCCAGTCCAGTCACTATAACAGACTGCTTTAGAGGCTGCCTTTTGCTAATTAAAAAAAAAAAAAAAAAAAAGATTGAACACACTTAAAATAGCTCCAACCTATGTGCAATACAGACTGTTTGTGAATGAAGGCGGATATTTTCCAAGTAATTTGCATGGATAATGAAACAAGTCTTGGAATCTGTAGGGTGTGCCCCATCTGAGTGCAATGACTTCGTAACTGATGGGAAATGTAGACGGAAAAGGTGCGGCGACATTAGACACAGGTGTCACACACATAAGTTTTTCTGCCGTCAGCAGAAGTTAGACTTGGACGGTTGCTTCGGAACCTCCGAAAGTTTTTTAATTTTACAATCATCTGGATTCGTAACCTACAGATAAGAGAGAACATTTTCAGTATCAAGAGGAAAGAGTTAACACACAGCCTTCCTGGATATATTGTTTACTCAGTTAACAAAGACTAATACTTTCTCATGTGCTTTTTATTTCTTTTTTGCAATAGAGAAAGGTTGTGACATGTCTTCTGTGCAGAGAGTAAATTATTTCCAGGTTATTTTCAAAGTCTATGTACACAATCTGTTACCGTAATGAATATACTATCTGAGCTCTCTAGTTACAAAATGTATCAGAAAAAATACTCAGTTAAAAATAATCACACAGTATTACTTACCAGCTACAGCTCCTCAAGTTCAATTTCTTGATTATTAAGAGGTCTGAAAACCAAACAGAAAACATGTAATGTAATAGTGAAAAGAATAACTACTATAAAAAAAGACCACAATAGCTTAGTGGTTAGAAGAACCTACTTTATGAAAAACTACAGTCTGCCAGGATAACTGCCCATAAAAGTTCAGACAAAACATTCATGCAAATGAATTACCTTCCCAATTATCTTATAGTGCAACTAAATTGTGTCAGTTAATAGATTTTGTTATCAAATAGACACCACCTACTTTCAAATTTCTGTTTGTCCCAGTAACCGTATCCCTTATCATAGTCCAAAATAACTTGGCATTGGTGGTCTCAATTTAATTTTTACACAGGACGTGTGAGAGAGAGAAACACCCATTGACTGGTAGCTAAAATGTGGATAGGATGAATGCGCATTATGTTTTCAACAAATCTCACCTTTCTTCTGGTGACTCTGGATCTTGTTGCGGCCTGTTTAGCTGTCTCTTTAACATCTGGAGAAGGAAAACAAATAACTTTTAAATTCTAAAGGAAGGAACAAAGACTTTTGTTAAGTCACCCACTAAAGACTTTCTGTAAAGACACCTTGTTTGCTTTAAAAAAAGTTAATTGCAATTATTTTAATACTAAGCTTTTTTTTCTTCTATCTTTAAAGGTTTTATATTTATACAGTGTACAGCGTAGAGATTATCTATATCCATTACAGGCAGGATAAGAGGTTAGCTGATGCAAATGTTGCAAGCCATAGTAAAACTACAACTCCCATGATAGCTTGACAGACTTAAGACTGGCTAATCATCATGTGAGTGTTGGTTTACTAGCATATGCACATTGAATATACCTTATTAGATCACATGAACATTTTTCATCACTATAGTGGTTTACATTTTGCAAGTTCTGTCACAAGTCACTATAACCAACTAATGATTAAATCTCTTTAGCCTTATTTCATGAAATAGTAAGTTGTAGTGAGCTGACAATTAGGATATTTTTCCCAACTTGGTTATTTTAACCATCAACTCGACCCTGCTCACTTCTAAGAAATAGATGGCATGTCTTTAATAAAGACAAATGAGATATAGCTCTGCATCAAATCTGGTTATTACAAAGCCAGAACACTGAATATGGCAATTCTCTAGAATGGTTGATCCAACGGGTGAACCCAGAACAGCACTGTCAGTAAAATTATTGTAACTGAAATGGGCTCTTGACTGACAGTGACATGGATGGCATTCAATGTGCCAGGTGAGTCAACTGTGTTTTGTGTTTTCACTCTGTTACGGTCGGAAAACAGCTAATTTTGAATGCACCTCAAATAACTGAAACATTTGGGTATCAATACCCTGGTGATAGTGCTTATTTTTCCCGAAGACAGAGCTGTATTCTGTATATTATTTAGATATGTTAACTCTGAGGCTACGCTTTTCTGTTCTTGTATATATTTTGTCTATTTGTGTACCTTTTTTTCTGGAACTTTTCTATCTACGAGGTTTATTATAAGAATTTTGTTGTTGATTCATTTAACGTTTTAGCATTCATCAGGAAGAACAGGCCATGATAGCCAAATAGAAGGCATCTCAAACAAACATTTGCTCTGGTCAGTTTTATGCAGAGGAGCTGTAAAATGCAACCTCCTCCAGATCTACAGAAACCTACAAGGATGACTGAGCAGTTGCATAGTTACATAGTAATCTAGGCTGAAAAAGCACTCGAGTCCTAAAAAGCCTTAGGAATACCTGTATTCCTAATGATTTAGGGCTCCTATCCCTGGTTGTATAGCTACCCCTTCCACATGCATGTGAGATTACAAATAATAAAATATAGTGTTTTATTTACCTGCTTTCAGCACCAAAGCAATCTTGGTGTTGCTTAGCTCTCCACCATCTGCTTAATTATCGAAGAGACAAGGCATCATTCAGCGTGGTCCAATCATATTCTCCTCACAGAGGAGCAGTGGAGACCTGATTTGCAGCAAGCACATCTAAGCTACCCCATAGGAAAGCATTAAAGCAATGCTTTTCTATGGGGGGCTTTCATGAAATGTGACAAGTATCTGTATTGGCGATCAGAAAATAAGCCAGCCACTAGAGGTGGATTCAACCCTCCCATGTAAACATTGCAGTTTCTAAAAAACTGTAATGCTTTACAGGGTTAAAAGGTGCAGGACCACTGCACCCAGACCACTTAATTGAGATGAAGTGGCCAGGATGACTTTAGTGGTCCTTTAAGGAATTAATGTGCAGTACTAATAAAGTTCAACCTTTCAGATATGTGTTTACACTTTTGATCTAAAATAGAGATTTAGTCAGGCAATTGTATTAACTGATTACTCGGTTTTTCATGTACCACAACAGAAAAGTCCCCAGTGTAATAATGTAATTGGTACAAGTCTCTACCATACTCCCACTGATTTATTATTATAATTTGAAGTTCCTCTCCATAAAGACTTACCCGATATTTCCGCTTGTAGTGAAGACCGTACAGTAATCCACAAAGAAACATTATTCCCAATATTCCTAGGACAGCTGCAATGACGAGGTTAAGGTTCTTCTGCCTGTGTGTTTCATCAACCTTCGATTCTGTTTTAATAACAAGTAGTGGGTTAGAGCCAGGTCTCGGGCCTGCACCATCACTGCCCCTTTCTTGAGATATAAGGGCAGCTGTGTTACCCTCTGACTGCAAGGGAATTTGGTGTATGCCCCCTCCCTCATGTACAGTTGTTTTGGTTTGCATAGAAACTTTTGTATCAGGGGATAGAATAAGTTGTTCAGTTCTGCTAAAAGTAGCGGGTTGCATGCTGGAAGCAAATGTAAGAGAGGTGTCAGCCCAACCAAGGTTATTTTCCTTTGTCTCATCGCCCAAAGACAAGGATCTGTCAGAGTCAAACTTGGTATTAACGTCCCACTCAGTAACCTGGCTAAATTGAGAAGAACTTAGAGAGGAATATTCTGAAGTACTGCCAACAGAAACGGGGGTATTACTTGCATGTGTCTCCACAGGTGTCTTGAATGTCTTCTCTGACATTCCAGTAGCATGATGCATTTTGGTGACAGTACTGTGAGTGAATACTTTGTCAACCTCCATGCTGGACACAGAGAAAAGATTTTGGGTTGTTGTGGTAGAGGAGCTTTCAGCATCTGGGTTTTGAGATATTTTCTCAACTGACGGCTCACTGGTTAAATATAGCTCGTTAGTATATGGTGAGTCAGTGGTTGGTGATAAACTCTTGCCAAAATATGGATTGTTTTTGTTAGTGTAGGAAGTTACTAGATAAGCAAGCGATTTTACTGTGTTAGCATATGTAGGCTGTGTCAGTTGCTGAAGAGCTGTCCTGAAATAAGTTGTTCCAGTTCCAGTAGGCTTCATGCTATAAAAAGGAGTTTCAGAGCTACCTTTTGTAGGCTTCATGCTAACTTGAAAGTCTGTGTAAGGTTGGGAGCTTGATGTTCTATGTTGTGGAAGATCTTTGCTACTCAGTACTGAGGGAAGTGTTGTGGTGTCATACTCCATTGTACCATGTGGAAATCCGGATTCAGTTGACATGTCTGTAAAGATGGTAGATGAGAAATCTCTGCTCTCAAGGGTCTCTGCAAGACCTGTTGACTTGTATGTAGTAGTGCCAGATTTATTTTCACTTATATCCTCAGCAGAGTCTTTGGTAGAATGGACAACACTTGAGTGTGTGCTGCGTCGAAAAACTGAAATTTCTCTTGGGGGCTTCTGGATAGTTGTTCTGAGAAGGTTTGAGGGGGTTGGGGAAGGGCAGTCACATTGAGAGGGACCTGTAAGATTCAGAGAGAAAGGGAGTGGGCTCTATGTAGCTAATGCTTGTGACATCAAAACACATGTGTCATAGCACCAAAAGATTAGTTATGTTAGCTGGTGGACACATTGTTCACACACAACAAGCAAAGTGCATTGCATAGACAGTGCTGTAAGTATGTAGTAGGCAGAAAACGAACGGGTGAAAGGTACAGGAACAGTTTCAACATTGAAAAGTTTTTAGACTAAAACATTTATGTGCAGGTACAAAAAGCCAGTGTCAAGTGTGAAGGGGAATCTGAACGGACACAAGTGGATTGCTGTAAATAGTGGTTCTTGTAAAGAACCAAATGTTGCACTTTGCTGTCATAACAATTTTGTTCTTAAAGATCTGATGTCAACATGAAATTAATATTCTTCGTATTGTACATTTAACATGCCTATATAATCCTACATTTGTTAGTTTAGTGGTTAATTCCATTTAGGACCTTAATATGTATTGTGACAGCAGAAAGCACCATTGGTCTTTAAAGAAATAAAGTACAGTGAAAAATAGTAACTTACCAGCCTTCCGATCATTATTTTCACACTCTCTCTCATAAAGCTCTTCACAATCATTATCCGTATGATATTTTATTCGGAAATTCTTTGCATCAATAAACAATTGTTTTACTTTCTCCAGGATCTGCACGGGGCTAAGACTTTCTATATCAGAGTCGCAGACATTGGGTTTCTGAGAATCAATAGAAAGAATTGTTAAACGTTTTTCTATAATAGGACACTTGATTTTATATTGAGGTAAAGTCCTACAAAAAAAAATTAACAAGGGAACCCCTCATCACACGCCACATCATTTCAACCCTTTATATAACCGATATCGTCCCACTCATAAAAACCAATCCCCACATTCCAATTCTGTTAAAGAGACAAAATTAGAGTTCTAGAGCAGTGGTTCCCAAACCAATCCTCAATGCTCCCCATGATATAGGGATTTCCCAGTTGTGTCTAGGGTGTTTTTTTTCTCCTAAAAACACCCTAGACACCACTGGGTAATCCCTAAATCCTGGACTGGTAGGGGTACCTTGAGGACTGGGGTACCTAGAGTGTTCTACTAACACATCATACTTGAACTCTCCTCACATTTACCAGGCACAGTGGGTCAGCCCTTGTAATTCTGGCTCCCCAAACAATCAGTGAATTTAAATTTTGACACTGAGTATATTTCATCATTATATTTTGACTCCACTGCATGCAGGTATACCATTCATAATGGAACATATAAGAACATATAAATAAAATATATAGACAATAAATTTAACAATAACCTACTTGGATTTATGGAAATTTCTACAATACTGCAAATATAGCAATAGTATGAAGAATGTATTATGGAAACATGTATCTAGTAAAATCATACAAATATGATTATTAGTCAGTTAAAGCCCCATAACTGCACTGGGATGTCTGAATGGGAGACAACTTTGGAGCAGTCCAAGAGAAGGTGTAACAATGATATAATGATGGGTGGAAATATCCAGAAAAAAAAGGGGATTCTGCTTGTAAGGGGGTGGTATTTCAAGCGGAGAATATAGCCACAACCACTGAGGAATGTCCAGACAGAGCTCATTAAAAGCATGCAGTACCTTATGTTCAGATCGTATGTCTAACAATAATTTATTGAGTACATTGCTCAGGTATACCAGGGAACCGTGTGACAGAAGACCCAAATCAGGACTGTTCTGCAAACTCCTGGACTGTTGGGAAGTATGTAAATATATACTACTGCCTAATTAAACTACTGCCAACGTTTTATAAAAAAAAAATATGTACTGGTATTTGTCGGACTTATGATTGAAACACTTACCTTAATTAGCTTGATTTTATCACCATCATTATAACTCAGCACACATTTGGTGATTTGATCATTGTACAAACTTAGCAGAGCAGCTGTGTTATTCTGGTAGACAGAATTATTTCTGAATTTTAAGTTTTTCCTTATTAGATCGCCAAGCTGATAGATTAAGCCTCGGGTGTAGCAGTAATCTGACTGAGATAAAAACAAGAGGAACACATTCACAAACAAAAAATCAGAACGTGAAACAATAACAGTTAGTACCCGCTTTATAAACAACAGATAAACTATAAGCTATTGTCAGACCTGGAGTCAATAAAAAGTTGTGTTGTTAGTACAATAACTGCATTGACTCATTTATAATTAGGAGTTCGCAATTTCAACTCGAGAAATAAACAATTGTCTGGACACATATCAGCTGCAGCATGTTTGATGTGTGTTCCACTTCTGATAACAACTGCAGAGTTTCAGCAGGCCTGTTAGATATGAAACCACAATCCTCTGAGTTACAGCTTCAACTAATAATTATGCATGCATGCGCACTCTAGAAGCCATTTACATGATCTGCAATATTAACAGGCAGACCAAAATTTCAGTCCCAGTAATTGTCATGATAACTGTTTTTTCTACAAATCATATAAAATGGTAAGCTTAGTATTGGGGGAAAAAATTGCATCTTAGGATAGTTGTTCTGGGAAGGTTAGAGGAGGTTGGGAAAATCCATAGAACCCAATTTATTTTGTCTATATTCCATCTAGGGTATCATTTTCACATAAACAGATTATTTATCATTATGTTATACATATATATGTGAAAAAAATAAACTCACCAAAGTTCCTTTCTTTAACAATTTGACATCTATAGCACATGAACTTTCAATTTGGCTATCAATCTGAAATAAGACAAAAAACACAATTTCAAGACAAATGTCCTGCAAATATTATAATGTTCACTGGATTGGAAGGAACGGTCACGTGTGAGATTTTATATAGCTAACTACAAATTAGCTATTTGTCATGCAAATATTTTTTGTTACTTACTAGTTCACTTTATTTTAATTTACATGTCCTGTAGAACAATGTTGGCACTGCAAGTAGATTGGTTTAACCCCGCAGTCCAATATGCACAGCTTACGCGTGCTGCACTACTAAAGGAATGTTTGTGCTGGTATGGCATTTCTGTATAGATATCTGAGAGAGCACAGTCACACCTGAAGCATCAGGAAGCAACAAAGTCAGATGTGATATGGAGGTAAGTGCATGTTTTACTTATATCCAGGGCCGGCCTTAGGGGTGTGCGAGCTGTGCGACCGCACAGGGCGCCATGGAACAGGGGGCGCCCTGTGGCCGACACAGCTCACTCATGGCCGGAGTGCAGGGGAGCTAAAAGAGGTACCTGGCTGGAGGATTAATTATTCTCCACCCGGGTCTATTAAAAAAAAAAAAAAAAATCGCGGCAGAGGGGGCGGGGTTTACCGAGCGGCGGAGGCGGGGCTTATCGAGAGGCGGAGACGGGGCTAATACCTCCCGAAGCCCCTGCTGTACAGGAAGAGGGAAAGATGCTTCCCCATCAGCCAACTGCATCCACTGGAAAGAGGTAAGTGTGTGTGTGTGACTGTTTGCCTGTTTGTGTGACTGTCTGTCTGTGTGTGTGTGTGACTGTCTGTCTGTGTGACTGCCTGCCTGTGTGCGTGTGACTGTCTGTGTGTGTGTGTGACTGTCTGTGTGACTGCCTGTCCTTGTGTGTGTGTGTGACTGTCTGTCTCTGTGTGTGTGTGTGTGTGACTGTCTCTGTGTGTGACTGCCTGCCTGTGTGTGACTGTCTGTGTGTGTGACTGTCTGTCTGTGTGACTGCCCATGTATGTGACTGCCTGTGTGTGTGACTGTCTGTCTGTGTGACTGTCTGTCTGTGTGACTGCCCGTGTGTGTGACTGCCTGTGTGTGTGAGACTGTCTGTCTGTGTGACTGTCTGTGTGTGTGACTGTCTGTCTGTGTGTGTGACTGCCTGTGTGTGTGACTGCCTGTATGTGACTGCCTGCCTGCCTGTGTGTGTCTGTCTGTAACTATCTGTCTGTGTGTGACTGCCTGCCTGTGTGTGTGACTTTCTATCTGTGTGACTGCCTGCCTGTGTGTGTATAACTGTCTATGTGTGTGTTACTGTGTGTCTGTCTGTGTGTGTGACTGCCTATGTGACTGTCTGTCTGTGTGTGTCGCTGTAGCTGTGCCATTGTTTGTGCCTGTGCCTGTATGTGTGACTGCCTTTAACTGAGTGTGTGTGTACATGCCTGTAACCGAGTTTAAATTTCCCCCACCCCTTCCTGTCAAGGCCGCACTTTGACTGACAGACGCTCACTCACTGACAGACGCACACTCACTGACAGACACACACTCTCATATACACTGACAAACAATGACATACACACATACACTATTACTTGGACACACACTGACAGATGCACACTCTCACTGACAGACGCAAGCACTCACTGAAAGATGCACGACTCCACTGACCGACACATACACACTGACTGACACACACTCACTGACCGACACACACTCACTGACCGACACATACACACTCACTGACCTACACACTCACTGACCTACACACTCACTGACTGACGACACATACACACTCACTGACTGACACATACACACTACACACTCACTGACCAACACACACATTCACTCACAGACACACACACATTCACTTACAGACACACACAATTACACACTTACAGACACACACACACACACACACATTCACTTCAAAATAAACACTCACAGACACACACACAGACATTTCCACTAACACTCACAAACTAATATTTTTTACATTTATTTTAAATCCACCCAGCCTCCCTGGGAAAGCTGGAGTGGATTTCTTACCAGCAGTCCAGTGTGGCTGCTGGGCAGGCAGGCAGGGGGCGCACAGGCTGAGTAAGCAGCGCTTAGTGATGCCGGGAGCCGGACTGACGTCATATTCTGGCTCCCGGCTTCATTAAGCGGCGCAGAGGAAGCTGAGCAGGAAGAGCTCAGGTGAGTATGCTCCTTCGCTGCCCGCTGCCAGCCTTGGGGGGGCTCAAAAGTGGCCAGCCGGTCAGCTCTTGAGCCCCCCAGGATGCGAGGCAAGCAAGGGATCTGCCTGGGGGTTTGGAGGGATGCTTTTTTTTGCCGCCCCCTGCAAAGTGGCGCCCAAGGCAGATGCCTTGTTTGCCTCGTGATACACACGTCCCCGGTGCCTGTGTGTGTTACTGTATTCAGGCAACTTGGTGGGAGGTGGGGGGGGCGCCGTGAAGACTTTTTGCACAGGGCGCCTAATTGCCTAAGGCCGGCCCTGCTTATATCCACCGATTTGTTCACCCCAACAAATGCTGCAGTAGCATTTAGTGACATGATGGAACAAGTAACTCATTTCCAGTGAAGTGCCCGTTTCCTTTTTAAATGGGGATTTTCTAATACATACATTTTGCAGTCTGTGCTGTTGACAACTAGTTGAAACCAACAATATGTATACAAGCTGATTGCGGTAAATGGGTTAATGTGTTCAGACGTTTTGAACAATCACTTCTTCAATTAAGTACAGTCATCATCAAAAACATTTAAACTACCTGCCTAATACTGTTTAGGTCTCCCTTGTCCTGCCAAAACAGCTCTGATGCATTGAAGTACGGACTCCATGAGACCTCTGAAAATGTCCTGTGGTATCTGGCACCAAGACATTACCAACAAATCACTTAAGCCCTGCAAGTTGCGAGATGGGGCCAACACAAATTGGATTTGTTGTTCCAGCACATCCCACAGATGCTCAATCGGATTGAGATCGGAGAATTTGGCAATACCTGGAACTTTTTGTCATGTTCCTTAAACCATTCCTGAACAGCTTTTGCAGAGTGGCAAAATGCATTATCCTGCTTAAAGAGGCCACTGCTATCAAGGAACATCACTGCTATGAAGGGGGTACATGGTCTGCAACAATCTCTAGGTAGGTGGTGATTCATCAGACAGGCAACCTTCTTTGCTCCATGGTGCAGGTTTGACACTCACATTCCCACTGAAGCCGCTTTTAGCGGTGGATAGTGGTTCATTATAGGCACTATGACAAGTCTGTGGCTACGCAGCCCCGTACAAAGCAAACTGCAATGCACAGTGTGTTCTGACACCTTTCTATTATGGCCAGCATTAAGTTTTTTTTAACAATTTGAGCTACAGTTGCTCTTCTGTGATCATACTGCTCCCCACATGCATCAATGAATCTTGGATGCCCATGACGCTAGTGGGTTGTCCTTCCTTGCATTACATTTGGTAGATACTAACCACTGCATAACGGTAACACCCCATAAGACTTGCTGCTGTGTTTTGGAGTTGCTTTGACCCAGTTGTCTAACCATCACTATTTGGCCCTTATCAAAGTCATTCAGATCCATTTTTCCTGCTTCCAACACATGCAATTCAAAAATTGAATGCTCACTTGCTGCCTAATGTATCCTACTTCTTGACACAAATATTGCAACAATATAATCAATGTTATTTCACAACACCTGTTAGTGGTTTTAATGTTGTGACCGATCTACATGTATATATATATATATATATATATATATATATATATATATACACACACGCACACATATACATATACATATAAATGAAACCAAGAGGGCTGCACTCACCTCCTGAACATGCATACATTATAGACTGGCGTTGTGGAAGGCTTAGGCAATACATGATCACATAATGTAACTAAACCACCAATATGTTTTGCCTAGGTGAGGCGTTCTTAAATAAAACTATTACAATCTGTGAGCTTTGAAATCACTGTTTAGTGAATAAGCGAGTACACTGGATTGAGTATTTTGGATATAATATATATATATATATATATATATATATATATATACCCACACACACACACACATTCTTACACTCACCATATTATCCAGATATCCTAAATGTGAGTCTGTAACATATTTGGGGCATTCGCTGAAATTAATGCACTGGACATCGGTGAGCCACAGCAGGACGTTTAACAGGAAAACCTGAGAAGCAAATTATATATTATATTACTGGAAGTTATTCGAACAGACATGGTCAAAGACATGTTCTATATACCATAAATATATGCAATATCAACTGTACACAAACACTACATTCGTAATACTGTACATACTGTTGCATAATGTCCTTACACAGTACAATGTACACATCCATGCACACTAAACATATACTAGAGACTATGCTTTATAAACAAACACAATACGACATGTTCTAGAACAAAAATTACTTGTGCAAAAAACAAATCAAATACATACAATATTTGAATAGCATTTAAAGGTATACTATACTATTCTACAGCCCTTGATATTTTTACATAAAAAAACAGTAGTGAGTTTAAACAAAATAGAGCAAGATTAGTAAAAGTCCATAAAAAAATAAAAGCTACACTGTTAGTTATCGTATGAGCCCAATTCATATTTGATTTACTAGTATCTGATGTAAATGTAACAAAGGACACATTGTACATACATTTCTTAAAACTTTCATGACAGATTACATGTTACAACAATGCTAATATAGGATTTGATTAGTCCCTGCTCACGAAGGGGTTAAATAAATCAGAAAGACATACATGTACACACAAATCCTTTGTTTCCTCTGTCTGGATAAATTATCCTGTCACTGCATTTTCCATTCTGAGACAAATTAGGGATTCTTGTTCAATGTATGCTTAATGTTTAATGTACAAGGTGCACATGCAAGCATGTCTATGCCTCTAACACATCAAATGGATATGCAGTGTTGGATATATGAGAAGTATAAAAGTTTATTTATGAAGCAATGGATTACGGTAAATTGAAAACCAAATAGTGAAATTTATTACAAAGCTTAAAAGTCTTAAATTGTTTTCGGCCTAAATAATTACATTTTGTTTTTCATTCAAAATCATTCACTGTGTACTAAATAAACCCCAGCAGGGCTTACATATATTAGTGTTTGCAGAACAAATGTATTTACTATGTTGAGCAGGCACAAATATATTTACTAATGTAAACAATCTGAGAAAAAGCCTCAAATCTTTTCCTTTCCGAATTTAATAATACCAAAGCATTGTACAGCACACACCCCATTGCAATATCCTTCTCTCCCACACAGTGTGTTAAAACTCTTTGAGACACATTTATCATTTTATCTGGCTTTAAACTCTGCCACGGCCTGCTTCTTTACGCAATCCTTTACTTAGGTGTGTTCTCCCAAAACAAATTGTGGGGATTTTTGAGAACCAACATGCACAATTCAGGTCAAATAAGCAGAGTTGGAAGTAAACATCCAACTTGCTTGAACTGGTATTTAACTTGCTTATTTTAATGTTGGTTCTCAAGTCATTACAGGGTACTGGTTAGCGAATAGACCCCTTTTGTTTTACTGAACCAGTCAAAGTTTAACCCCTTAAGGACACATAACATGTGTGACATGTCACGATTCCCTTTTATTCCAGAAGTTTGGTCCTTAAGGGGTTAAAGCTCATGTTTTTCCACAGATGGAAACCTATGTGCCTGTTGAGCTGTATCAGTAAAGTATCCTAACCGGCACTAAGAGTTTAGTTACAAATTGTCATTCAAATTAATACAACTTGACAGAGTGACAACAGAAAAAGAAAGTAACTCCTCTCCTTGTTGGAGGTAATTGTTGCAGCAGGATATATATTATATATATAAAAAAAAAAAAAGCTATACAAACTTTCTGTAATAAAACCGTGTTTCTCCATTACCACATGGTATGCAGATTTGTGCACACGCAAATGCACATGTGCGTTGCATACATAGGTAGACAGAGTATGTGCAGAATACACACATTTTAAAATTTCAAAAGTGAAGAAAAAAATACCACTGGGAATACATTATTCGTTATACTGTCGTGAGTAGTTTAAACTACTTAAAATGTGTGTCATCCCAATTTTATTGATTTACTGTAAAACCCGTGTGGTTAAAACAGTGTGTTATGGTTGGCTGTGCATCAAGGGAAACAGAGTTTAGAATCTTGGCAATGTGGGCTGCCAAGATTAGCCAACACGGAGTTAAATGATACATTTTATTAAAAACACGCAATATGCAAAAGGTGCATTAGCCAGCTTTACCAAGCACATTTTAAGGAATTCTTTTTAGACTACAATCCAAGACATAAAAACACACGCTAATAATCATTTTATCTATGTATTTCATGTATAACCCCATTAAATATTAGAAAAGTGTGAAAGGTGGTATGTATGATGATCAATGAAAGTCCTAAATTATAAAGTTCAGTTATCAAAAACATTCCATTGGTGTCTCGTGCCATTTATTTTACTACAGAACGTTTCCAAATAGAAAGTCCAATACTATGCAAAAACTGCAACAGCTGAGTAACAACATGACACATGACATCATCACAGACTTCACACCCTGTAAGACCTCTTTAGTTATGAACTACAAGTCCAACAAAAGCTGTTCAGCCACTTAGTCATGCCTAGCAATATCACTTCAAAGACTTGCATGTCAACTACATGCTGTATAGATAAACTGTATTGCTTATCTATGACTAAAGCAACCACAAGCTTACTGTCTGTGGCAGGTGAGGTCTTTACTGCAGCTAGTCTACATAAAAACCACAAGTTAAAAAAAATGTCATACGACATTATATGACTAAATAGCCTTCATAAAATAACCTGCATTCTTGTGCATTATATGCAAATATTTACACGTTTGGCGTGACCCCAGGATAAATTATATTATTTAATTGTGGCGTTCGAGACAAGATGTTGTTTGTGTCAGATATTTGAGATACGTGTTAATGGTGTCAGACCTAATGGCAAGCTGTCCCTGGCCCCCTATAGAGCAGGGGTGGCCAAAAAGATCAATCCTCAACTGTTGCACAACTTCTACAACACCATGCCAGCAGGTGATCTGCCATTTTCTCTATCTTACAGATGCTGGCATACACACAGTACCACTAAGGGGCAGAACCATGCAGCAACTGCGCCAGGTCCCTAGGGGGTTAGGGTGCCTGCTGCCAGCAGTGAAAATTAAAATGCGGCTCCCTTCCTGGTCCTGCTGGCATTACAAGTAGTTTCAAACATATAGAGGGAGGCGGGGTGCTTCATTTAGAGCCAGAGTCACTGGGGACCTGGCTACACATTTACAGCGTGCGCCACAGCCAGCGCAGTAAGAGCAGGAATGAGCAGCAGACTCGGAGATGTTGAGACTGTTGGTACATGAGTGTAAATGCCAGTGCGTGCCTACCTGTGTGTCAGTGTTTGTGTGTATTTAGTATATCTGTGTGCATCTTGGTATGGTAATGTATTACTCTGAGCTAACAGGGTTAATTACTAAAGTGAATTTCAACCTTAAATGTCAAAATAGTGTCAGTCAAAAAAAAAAAAAAAAATTTAAAATCACCCTGAATGCTCATTTTAGTAAACCACTTTAATGATGGGGGGAATTCCTCCTGATGTTGTATTCCAGGGTTAGTCTGTGCAGTGCCCGGGCTCACGGCATGGGGATGTGCAAAGACCCCCATGTGATATCTAGGTCTGTCTATGTGCCTATATCTTGTATTATAATCAGATGTGCCAATTCTACAACGCATACTACCTGAACCTGTGCCTATAATATGCGTATTAAGAGAGCTGTGCATAGGTCATGTTCGTGTTAAGGTCAGGCGAGCTGATTATCGAGATTTACAGTCCACCTCCAGTGTAACATGAAACGTGTTAAAAGTGAAAGTACTCTGCTAGCCAGCTTATTAGAATGGACAGGCGCCCCTAGTCAAGTTAACAGACAGTGAAACGCTTTGATAATCTGGTTATTATGGAGTGAACATGTACTGCTTATTAAATTATCACTGGGATCTTACCGTCACCGATGCTGATATCCTGGACATGCCTTCCATTAGTAGAATGGGTGATGGAATAGAACGTTTTAGAATCCTGAGTGATTTCCTAACGGGTGTCTTCCTGCGCAATCCGAACGTTCTGCGTCAACTCTTCGCCTCCTCCTAAGTGCAGCGCAAAAAAATCAAGTAGTCCAGTACTTTAAGCTGTCCTCTCTTCAGTGGGATATTTATTGTTCCTGTTCCCTCTTCCCTGTATTTCTGTTGCTTCCAGCGCCTTGGAGTGTATAAATAACGTGCTTTGTTCTTGTTTTACCCCTAAGTTGTTTGCTTTTTGTATTCTTTAGGCTTTTGTTGGTATTGAATGGAGTGCGCTCTTATTCTGTTGTGCTGGTTGCTATGTGCTGTATAATGTGTGCAATCATGCCCTCTCTACCCAGCTCCCAGTCCCCCTCTGAAATGATCTCTAGTTCTCGCTCTCTCTTACTTAAATACCTCCCCGCCCATTTCCCCCCACTCCCGCCCCCTTCCCCCCCTCCATACGAAGACATGTGGTTTAGGGGAAATCACCTTGGCCAGCTTCTTTTTTTTTTCTATTCTCATCTTGTGCTTTTATTAATATATCTTCCGACAATTCTCTATCGAAAATTGCTGATAGCATTTTTTTATGTAGTGTTTCATTTTACTTCTCTCTAAAGGTGCAGTGTCATTTGGTGGGGAGAAGAACGAAAATAAAGTAAATTATTTCGCACTGAGTGTGGTTAGAGTGGAGATTTGCAAAAGTATCATAGTTTGTCATTTTTCATTCTTTTTCTGTACTGTGATACAAGAGAGTGCAAATGACAAAAAGAAAGGGTGTACAGCTTACAAAATGTTCCATTATACATATGCACAGTGCTAAATCTGACGTTTTATCTCGTGCCTCTGCAAGATGCACAGTACTGTTGATAATTCACAGACAAACTTATAAATCAAATCCATTAATGAGATAGTACACCCCACGAAGCAAATGAAAGTAATCTAAACACCATATCCAGTTATGTAGTACATCAACAAAGGTTTAACCCCTTAAGGACACATGACATGTGTGACGTCATGATTCCCTTTTATTCCAGAAGTTTGGTCCTTAAGGGGTTAAATAAACACAGAGAAACACACAACGTATCTGATGGGATAACATTTAATCTGCAAACTCCATCCAGAGCCAGATTTGCCAAAATGCAGTTTTTATCAGCTGTCTACAGTTGCCTCTCTGTCCGAGTGCCTAATTTGGAACTGTAAAATTGATTTTAAAAATGGTGTCCTTTTTTTTTCAGGAGTGTTTTTCATTTTTTTTCTTGTCACGAGTGTCAGTTTTGATAGATATTCACAGTTTTGCATTTGGACACCTTAGCTGTAGCACCAGTTTCAGTGGCTATTAACACCCTCAATTCTACTGTCACCCAGTGCACCTCAAATCCGCATTGACACCTGGCTCACAGCATTTAAACCCTGCACTAAGCATTCACGCTCTACATTCAATATTTTCAATATCCAAAGGGTTGTTAACTAAAGTGTAAATTCCTGACCCTATAGTGTTAAAACCACCATCTAACCCCCACTCCCCCACCCAGCCCCCTCTTGATCTCCTAAATATAGCTAAATCTTACTTGTATTCTTGTCTGCTGCTGGCTGTGCTCCTGATCTGCTTGCTTGACTGACATTATCAGAAGTGGTAAATGATAACAATGCTATGTGAGCCAATTTCAATGCATTGTATTGGCTGAGACTGTCAATGAGGCAGATCAGGGTCAGAGCCAGCACAAGTTAAACACAGCCCTGGCAAATCGGCATCTCCTCATAGAGATGCATTGAATCAGTGCATCTCTATGAGGAAAGTTCAGTGTCTCCATGCAAAGGGAGGAGATACTGAATGTCTGTGCACTGCCCCAGGAAGCACCTATAGTAGCCATCCGAGAAGTGACCAGTGGAGGTATCCTTAGGCTGTAATGTAAACACTGCATTTTCTCTGAAAACACAGTATTTACTGCAAAATGTCTGGAGGGAATGATTATACTCACCAGAACAAATACAATAAGCTGTAGTTGTTCTAGTGACTATAGTGTCACTTTATAGTTAAAATAGCCAGACTGGAAGCATAGCTGACTTGTCTATTTTGGCCTTAAAGGGACACTGTAGGCACCCAGACCACTTCAGCTAATTGAAGTAGTCTGGGGGCTGTGACCCTTTTGCACTTAGTTCCAAAGAACTGCAATGTTTACATTGCAGCTCTACGTCTGCCCCCAGTCAATCTCCCTTATACACACTGTCACCCCCTACAATGTAGTGTCACCATACTCTCACAGACTGTCACCCTCCCCTCACACTGTCACATTCCCACACATTGTCACCCGTCCCCACACTGTCACCCCCTCCACACTTTCAGCCCTTTCATGCATCCACACTCTCATTAACCACGACTAATCCTGTTAATCTCACCTCCTCCAAACTCACCTGCCCTTGCTCTGCCACACTCACCCTCTCACAACCATGCCACATTCACCCTTCACCGCAAAACTGTGATACTCACCCCACCCCAACTATGCCACACTTACCCTGTCACTTAAATCTTAAATTTTCATTTTTGTTTTCAAGAACCTCTTCACACCAGTACTTATTTATACACGACTGCTGGGCTATGCAACCATACCCCACAATTGTGTATAAGCGATTGGCATAATTGCAAATTAAATTTATTTATTGCAAATTATGCTACAACTATAGCCAGAGAGCTCACAATGCAGGGGCACAGGAAGCTGTGACATTGCAAGCTTCTGAACAATGAATGCAGAGACTGACTCTCTGTATCTAGCGCTGCAAGCCCGCCTTTCAATATAGCGAATGCTCCTTACACACACACAAAATACAACCCTATTATTTTATATTTTGGGTGTTAGTGGGGCCTCATGCTTGAAGTTCGCCCAAAGCCTCATAAAGTCTAGAGCTGCCTCTGCCTGGAGGCACTCTTACCTCAAGAGGTTAAACCATTCTCAAATAGTGTAAACCCCAAAATTGCCTATATCGGCAATGTTCACTGCCCCCCCATCCGGCATCTGGCTACTGAATTGGCAGATTCAGGAAGCATGGAGTGCTGCATGCAGGGGCCTGCTGATTGGGAGTGGTCAGCTGATGCTGACAGCCAATCAGTGACTCCCTATTCACAAAACTTGCTTGGAAAGAAAAGTACCTTTTCCAAGCCAGTTTTGTGAATGGGGATTCACTGATAGGCTGAGAGTGTCAGCTGAGCACTTTCAGTCAATGAGCGTCGCCCCTGGCCGGCGCCACTCCATGGATATTGAATCTGAAAGAGGTAAGAGTGCCTCCAGGTTCTTAAACTTCATTTAAATTAGATTAGATGAGTTATTTGGGTGTCTCTTTAATAACCTTTCAAAAACTTTCCCAGTCACAGAAGTTAAGCTCACAGGTCTATAATTTCTGGGCAGAGATTTTAAGCCCTTTTTAAATATAGGAACCACATCTGCTTTCCTCCAATCCTCTGATATGTTACCTCCAAAGAAATGAATCCTGAATGATTAAAAACAGTGGTTCCCTTACTTCCACACTCAGTTCCTTAGTATTTACTGAAGAAAAATAAATCTATAAATTATAATAAAAATAAAATGTCTGCCTTTTCCTGATCTTCATTTACTAACACATCCATCTCTGATTACAGTGCACATTTTTGTTGTTTGTTTTTCTTAGAATTTATGTAATTTGAAACATTGTGAGGCTGTTCTTGATCTTTGGCTATCACTTTTTATTTGTTAGTTTAACACATTTAATCACCTTTTTACTTGTCTGTTTGGCTTCCTTGAAGTTTATATATGGCCTCAATTCACACACCCAGATCCAAGCAATTCTGAATCTCTCCATTTTTCATCTGCCTACAATTTTCATGTACTGGCTGAAACTTGAATGATACTTCACCTCATTTATTCTAACTTTGTTACCATATTAACATTTGTTACTATAGCATTGTTACCATTTATATCTGCCGTTTGCCACTGTAATTTTCTGTGCATGCAGCTTTTTATTATTATTTTATTGAATGTATTCCACCAATATTTTATGTAGACATTTGCATTTGGTTGGTAAACTTTTCAATAAAACAAAAACAAATAAATAAAACAAATGTTAGCTCTACCCACTCGCTCTCCATCCTTTACCCTCCTGGCTGTAAATACCTACATATAACTGTGTCCTCTCCATCCCTGTTTCTAAGGCCTCACTTCACACACCCAGAAACAAGCAATACTGAATCTCTCCATTTATCTAAGCATTTCCTGCCCACCCAGGTTCCTACTGAATTTATAGCATGCTCCTCCAGCTGTTTGAGAGTCTTACTCAATTGCCTCCTCATTTCCTTTACAAATTTACCAGTAGCTGCAACTCTCCATTAACTTCCTTTAGCCATCACAAATTCCTCCCTGATCCCTCTTCTCTCAAATCCCCATTATATCCTTAAGATTGTAACCTTATGGGCTGTCTAACTAAGCACCACTCATACTGACCACTTGGCAGATCGGTCATGGACCGAGCGCCCAAGGCAGTCAAGGGCCCGGCCGTCTGAACAGCCATGATCTCTCTGGCTGGGAATTTCAGATACCTTCTTAGCAAGAAACTCTAAATTCCACAGACATTACAGCGATATGTTACAGGGTCTCTGCAACCTATCAAGGGTAAGTGGCCCTTTCCCTTCCCATCTCATCTCATCAAAAACCCATCCTGCTGTCTCTGTGCCAGGTTTCCATGATCTCCTCTGTGGTGCTCTGTGAGAAGATGCGGGTGGTGAAGTAGCATTACTTCTTGTACTTGCCCTGCTTCTCATTCTAAAGGTAAGGAGCAGCCTGGTAGCATGTTCCTTTTTAGAAAGGGACAAGGTGCTAGTGTAGGGACAGGGACGGGATTAGTGACTACGTAATTATTACAATCACTTATATAGCACCAACATATTCTGCACATATTCTGCACCTATGTACAAGACGTCTGACACACAGGAACACAAAATCACAAGCAGCATCCCTGTTGAGATATATAAACTAAAAGTGCTCTCATAGTGGTATAACTTATGTTATACATTGTATGGTTAAAAGGAGTGTATATAAAGTTTGTTGTTACTCCTAATTTTCCTCTTGAAACAGGAAGCAGAAGCAGTGTTAGTTACAATAAAGACACAGAAGCAAGAAGTACCTGTGTGATTTCCCCCCTCCATTTTACATAAGGTTTACATAAGGTTATTCTTTTATACCAGGTTATCCTACCCTAATAATCAAAATGGCAACAGGTTATGGGCCCAGGAGGGATGCAGGAAACCGATTGAGCAGGCTATGCTTTGATGGAGATGAAAATAATTATGAACTTTGGGAGACTAAATTCTTGGGACATCTGAGGTTGCTGAAACTCAAAGAAACCATCCTGAGT